GCATTTTCACCTCACAAACTTTCAAGTTTTCTGACCTCGTCTTTTATGTCCACCTCCACAACTTGAAGTCCGTTTCCGATTATTCTAATAATCCAGTCCTTAAATATACCACGTATATCTCGAATTATTCTTCACAACTATTCGCAGAAAAATAACAAAAGGAGAAAGGGTGATCAGAGAGCTCGTACCTCCTTCCTAAAGGGGTGACGAGCATAAATGAAACCGTGACCGAAGGATTTCTCTTCGGCTAGAACGATATCCTCTTCGGTTGCTGTAGGTTCGCTGATAATTTTTCGAATACTGTCGGGAATCATGTTTTTCTGAATAGCAGAGTAGTTTTTCAATTCAACAGGATGCCACTAGTGTTTGCCAATAGAAGCTTTTCTACTCCTTCATGGTAGACTGTATGAGGGAAATCGTCCTACCTTGAACACTTGGTGAATAGCTTGTGCAAAGCCGAGCGCCGTTCCAATTCCCATGCAACTGATCAACGGTAACCGTCTGACTGCAGGGTCGTTGTACGGTATAGAGTCCTCACATGAAATTGAAGTTTCCATTATTCATTCGATTGTCTTGAAGTCACTCAGAGATTGAATGAATTTTTCTACACGATTTCATTTATGGCGCGTTTTATAAAAGGCATAACTCTATGATCCTTTATCGTCATCACTTATCGAGAATCCTAAGTGAAAGAGAGGAAACGAAAACTACAGCAGCTCTCATAATCACACACTGATCAAATGGGCGGAGTTGCACCCCTTTCGTACTTTCTTATTGGTGAGCATTCCATCTCAATACGGTGAAAGACAGCAAACATTTGGAGGCTCGGGCCCGCCCCATGTGGTCAACATACAGTGTGATTTAAAGGCAAAGTTCGGGCTCAGACCCACCTAATAAGCCCTTAAAGTGGCTAGAAGTGCATGGGACGCAACTGCAGGCGACTCGCCAAGTTCCCGCATCCAAATGCGTCACTAAGGCGCTAGGGGCCAAGGACTTTGACACGCTCCTCCTGTTGCGACACGCTCCGCCCACCGCTCGATATTTTGTCCGCGTACCTACCTCATAGTTTAAGCTTGAATCTTGCCTTTAAGTGCACAAACCTGGCCCTGGCGGGTGGCAGTTCCCACCATCAAATTCAAATTTCTGCATTGACGGTGCAACAGCATATTCCTACTACCCACTGCTAGAGTTCACTTCAGACGCTTCCCTAAATATGCTTTGAAACCGCCATTTCATCAGGTATTGCTGATAGCATTACATTAGATACAAATGCGACAACGTAATGGCGCGGGGTTCAAAGCTATGTCAAACGACTTGGTTGGTAAAGGCAGCATCGTACTGAGATCCTCTTTTGCTCTACTGCGTTTGATCTGCATAGTTAAGGGTTCTCAAAAACATAAGGCGTACTTATAGACTAATTATCTGCTGCCAGCGATCGATCCAGCACCACAGCTAGAGCTGTTTCAGTACCCTCTGCTAGGTCCCAAGTTCTCCAAGATTGCCAAAAAGCCACTCCGTGCTAAGGAGCACACGCCTATCCCGTGACTGACGGACTGAGCGTGTGGCAAGCGAGCAAAGTAGGACTATAGCGGAAACCTCTGTGCAGATCGTTGAATCAGTTCACTAGTAGTACGATTGCACATTAATCAAAACTAAAATTTTTTAATGTATTGTTAGGAACCTTGCAGTGTTAAGTGTAAATTTCACAGTCCTCCCTGTAAATTCCCCAGGAACCCGTCCCCTCCCACCTCCTTGAGGTGGTCTCGATACGACCTCCACAGTCGACATCAGCCTTGAGGAATTCTCCCAACACAACCCTCACCAACCATCTCGGCCACTACCCCCACCATAGCTATTTCTATGGTATTCAATTCAAAGACCACTCGGACACTCCTACTGCGTATTTTTCCTTCAACCGCTGTCGACAGTAGAAATATGGCTAAAAACAGCAAATGTTCTAATTTTGTCTATTTCGCACTTTTTCATAGAGGTTTTGCCAGATTCTTCCAAAACTCTTCAAACACAACCCCTCTCCCGTCGCTACGGCCCTTCAATTTCCAAAATAAACCCTTTTCAACCCATTGACACTCTACAAACTCAACAAAAGGCCTCTCCGAAAACAGTAATACCCCCTACCAGCCCTCGTGTGCAGCACACGCGTTGACCCATGCTAGCAAGTAGATGAACTGATAAAGACTTTGCCATTCGAATGCGGAACAAGTTGCCCGGAAGATGTGCTGCATATTGTGAAATCTCAGATGGGTAGAAAAACTTACAGAAATAGAAATACTTTCAGCCTGAGGAAGGTCGCTCAAAGTTATACAAAATCTACAACCGTTTCGTATATTCTCGCGGCACGGGACCTTGTAGTTTCACTGAGTAAAACTGAATCATCTATAATGCTACTGACGTACAGAGCGTTTCGGAAAAAGTGTGTACAAGGTGCTTGCTATAAGTCAGAGATTTCTATCGGCTGAGATAAATCATTACCATTCTCATAATTCCTAAGAAGTACGGATAGCTGCGACATCATGCGAGACCGCGCGTGAAGAAGTGACCACACAAGACCTTGAGGAACGAAATATGAAAACCGAATTTTATTATACATAACATGGGTATCTGCAACTTCTGGTTCAGAATAATCTTGTTATAAATTTCAAGTTTCACTTCTAGTGTGATGTCAATGAAGGGCTTCAGTGACAAGGCCGAGCTTTGAAAGATATGACATTTTCTGGGTTAATATCACACGCAGCGCTTCCACAAACAACATTCCTCAGGGACACACAAGGATAAATCAATCTCCCAATGGACTCAACACTTCCAGGAAATGAGCATCCCTACGAGCTCTATATATTAGGTTGTCTCATAAATAGTGTCGCTTTTTTTCAACCAAAAAATTTTCATCCAAATCCTCATGCTTTTACATCGAGTCATATACCATTCGAAAGAGAATTGTCTGCTCTACAAAGATATTGTGTTCTTCTTCCATCTATGTTCCATGGTTTCAAATTTTATACCTGCGAAATGGGAGGTCCAGTCGACAAAAATTGACCAAACCGACAACTATCTTTACTTTATCTTCCCTTGGGAGAAATCAATCAATACTGTACCGACTACTTAAGCATGATCTCTTCTATACATTACACTATTAGGTTCCCAACAAGTCGCGTCATTCCATTTCCAGACCTGGTTTTTCAACCAGAACTCGACGGTCAAGCACCATTACCTGAGATCGAGGTCGAAATTTTTTTAAGCCGAGACATTGAAAAACTAGTAGAATTTAAAGAACAAGTCATGACTAAGTTAGGTGTACGCCTGGTTGATTTTCTCATCTTCTCAGGATAATTTTTTCAAAGAAATGCGGTCACTTTCGTGGATAAAGCACCTTACTCCTAAACACCTAAAATTCGAGCTAATTCCTAACAAACAATGAGCGAATAGAGCAGAAGAAGTGCTCACAAAAGATACACCAGTTGATATAAAACAATAGCGTTTCAGAGGAAGAATTTCAATTTGAAAATTGCCATGGACTTATCGGTCGGCCAATTCGAAAAGAAACAGGGCAAACCTTTTTCGGCAACCTAAGGGTGGAATGTTTAGAAGAGGTCATGAGTAAGTAGAGGGTACATCATTGATTGATTTCTCCGAAGGGAACATAAAGTTAGAGCTAGTTGTCGGTTTGGTCAATTTTTGTCGGCGGGACCTCCCATTTCACAGGCCTAAAATTTGAAAACCATGGAACATAGATGGAAGAAGAACACAATCTTGTAGAGCAGACAATTCTCTTTCGAATGGTATATGACTCGATGTAAAAGCATGGGGATTTAGATGAAAATTTTTTGGTTGAAAAAAAGCGACACTATTTATGAGACAACCTAATATTTTCAACGTAGGGTTCAATGACTTTTATTCGCTTCCCCTATTTTATGGCCGTGTATGGTGATGTGCGGAAGAAACATGCAGACCAAATGGTATGCCATCTCTATTAGAAAACATTACATAGCACATTCGTGCATCACCGGGTATGCATGTGTTACAGTGAATGTCATGTGACATACATATGTCCGAATGCAGTTGAGTGCGACGTGCAGTTGAGAGTGTTGACATGTAGTTGGATCCCACATTCTACGTTCTCTTTTTACTTGCGTGCCACATTATCGCAGCGCTTTTCCAAGAAACTAGAGGACTGGTCTATCGGTAACCGTGGCGTAAAAACACTCACTTCACAGGTCTTCTGGCGTGAGCAATAATTGATTGTAAGATTGAGGGATTTGAAACGTGTGCAATTCGATGTTGGCTCAGCTCTTCACTTCCAATGAAGAAATCTACTCCTAAAGTTCCACATAATTGATTTACACGTTTTACAATTGTAAATTACTTGTAAACCAGTTGTTCTACCTTCTTCCCAAATTTCTTCTTTATAAATCTTTGGAACAGGGTAGCCTTTGGGGTGCAGACGTCTGATAATCTGATCAACAAGAAATCCGTAGGTCAAGGCATGATAACCTCGATGTGATCCAGGAGTCCAATGAGGTGTTGCCTAAAACGATCATTGAATCAAAAGCCATACAAATTGGAAGCTTTAGAATCTTGAAAACTTCCCATGAATGTTTCTGATTGCTGGTTGTAGGAGGAAACTGGAATTTGTAACGACTAGTTGAGAAAGAAGGTCGTGTGTGAGGACCAAAACAATGTGGCATAGGAGGTGGAGATGTTCCTCAGAACGGGCCCTGCCTCATTTTGTCTCCCTTCTCCTATGTCTTCTTCGCCTCTTGTTTGTAGGGCAACGGCATGTTTGAATTATTAATTTTTCTTGGCTTGGGTGGCTTAGTGCAAATAACGGCTTTAACCTCATAGTGCTTTTACTTGAAAGTCTTTGAATTTTAATCATACTGACAGTACTGCACAATACACCAGAGTTGTAATATTGTACATAAAATTTTCGCTTTTGTTGGGGGTTCCCAGGGTAACTCAAGGGCGAGCTTATTTTTGTACTCTGCGCTCGGGACCCTGTAACCAAGGCCAATCGCATTCGGACAAGCACAACACAGGGATCGCACTTGTGATTGCAGAGGAGGAGAAGTCTTGTTTTGCGGATGCGACACTAGTGGGTAACCAGCCTTTCTCTTTCTCTGGGTTACACAACCGGGAACATTAGGGATTTTTCTGGAGAATGGACCCGCAGTATTGTCTGACGGGAAATCTCTCAACAAAACAAAATGCCACATGTTTGACTTCAAGCAGTTGGGGTTCACGGTCAATCCAGCTCTTACCTGCGACTGAAATTAACATAGAGACAGTAACTCACTGTTTCTATCAACTCTCTGATTACATCCGAATCCTCAGCTTCTTCCAATCCAAATTCTCTGCCGAAAGTGATCAAACCCGCCTGAATGATTGCGCGGTGGTGATTATGGAAGGTGCTCTATCGGATGCTCAAAAATTACTCGTTACGTCGAAGGAAATGATAGTTGTGGCTGGGGGCGTTGCGGTTTCGATGACGTTGGTGAACGTAACTGGCGACAGTGGCGGCCCCAACACATCCCCAGCACGCTGAAGAGGTTTGGTCCAGCCAATAACGGTTCAAGTGAGTCATAACATATACCGCACGTCCTATAACCATTCGTAATCGCTTCCTTTAAATATTTGTGGACCCACATGGTCCAACATTCACTGACTGAATATTCCTATGAATGATCGCCATGAAGTAAATCAGTAGCACTTACACGATGATCCAAAATATCTCTTATGGTGGTGTTCCCTTTGCCATTTTTGCTGAATTCAGGCCAAAATGTGGACACCTAAAAGACAACAAACGGAAAATGTTCATTTGATCGGAATAAAGCGTTTCTACTTGGATTGTAACTGTGCTCCACCACGGCACATAACCGCACACGGCTAGTCGCTTTCCATGGCTTTTAGCCCCTCGGTGGTTCATGCTGATCGAGGCTAGCGCCAAGTGCGACGAGGCGTGCAGTTACGCAACACTTGTGCGTTCCAGTTATAATTGAAGAGGAATTTGCGACGAGAAAGCAGCCCAAAGGTAGAGGTGGTCAGTGGTGCCGGAATGGAGAAAAACGGCCCATAACCCGAGAGAAGCCCCTTTGCTGCCCGTTGATTTCCGCATTGATGCGACTCTCATCGCTGCCACCCTCTTCATCGGTCGCTCTAGTGAACGGCTAGTGAACGGCGACGAATGCTTCAACAAGTCGGTTCGCCCTTACGGGGGAGGGTTCGCCTGTCTTTCCACTAGGTAAGATTCCCCTTCTTCGACCTCTATCGCGGAATTCCTCTTTTAGTACCAAACGCTCCATATCCCAACTTCCCCGTTCCTCCTTCGCTCTCTGTCCACTCTTGTTGTTTTCTTGAAATTTGATTGGAACCTAATGAAAAATGACTTCCATTCTCTTCGTCTCTCCTCATATGCTACCAACTGAAGGCTAGTACTGTGATCATCTAGGTTTGCCTATTGTAGACGAAAACGTAGTGGTACGACTCAACCCGCAATTGATGAGAAAAAACCCAGCGGAAACAGTGAAAGGAGGGCCTCCTCCTTGGCTTTACGGAGAGAAGAGAACGCACAGAACAGGTTCGGATACGAGGGAGCATAAGAGATGGGTGAGACGCAGGCACCACGCCAAGTTCATCATCGTATCGTAAGTAATACGATTATCCACCAGCTCTCACATGTGATAAGGCGCTAGCGGCCTTGTTGCGCACTTCAACAGGCTATTAGGCACGGAAACGGTGCTCTTCATCACTTTGTTCTCACGTCTCCCCTTTCTGCTCACAAGAGTGGTTATCCCTTTAGATTTATCGTGGAACGTTCTTTTAAGGCACTTCAACGTCAAACGTCATAGCGCTTCTGGTCGAGGATTCA